CACCTGCTGGTCCTAAAGAGATCATCAAGTTCTTGAATAAAGTGTTCTGGATTGTCAGGTACAACTCCAGAATTATTCCAAGCTGTACTGAGGATGCTGAATGGAGAGGAGTCCAGAGGAGAACCTGGAGATGCTCCAGGGCTGGAGCCCCTCTGCTCTGGAGCCAGGCTGGGAGAGCTGGGGGGGTTCCCCTGGAGAAGAGAAGGCTCCAGGGACACCTGAGAGCCCCTTGCAGGGCCTAAAGGGGCTCCAGGAGAGCTGGAGAGGGACTGGGGACAAGGGCTGGAGGGACAGGACACAGGGAATGGCTTCCCACTGCCAGAGGGCAGGGAGAGATGGGATATTGGGAGGGAATTGTTCCCTGTGAGGGTGGGCAGTCCCTGGCACAGGTTGCCCAGAGAAGCTGTGGCTGCCCCTGGATCCCTGGAAGTGTCCAAGCCTTGGAGCACCCTGGGCTGGTGGAAGGTGTCCCTGCTCGTGGCAGGGGGTGGGATGGGAAGAGCTTTGAGGTCCCTTCCAACCCAAACCACTCTGGGATTCTCTGAAATATCCAATGTCCGGAGCAAGTGCCTCCATCCCTACATTCTGCCCAGTACTCTTGCTGTTTGCTCCTCCTGGATTAGCTCCAGGACCTGCCCCTCCTCTGTCTTTTGAACCTGCCACCAATATACTCAAGAGTTTATTTTAACCCATTTACAAACCTTCAAAGAAATGATCCCTATGAGCATTTGGCTTCTAAGATGCATAAACATAAACGCATTTTTGGGTGCATTTCTGGCTACCTGTGCAAAGAACCCCCATTTTTGACAAAAGTACAATTTTAGGGTTCCCATGACACCTCATTCCCCAGGCTGGAACCATCACATCAAATCTCCCTCCACATTTATTTCAAGCAGCTTTTTTTTCTGTGCCATTTACTGAGAGGTTGATGCCGTTAATTAACATTTTTTCGTCTGCCAACTTTTTTTCACTTCAGAAGCAGAACTTTCAGCGGCCCAGCAAAAATCCAGTGCTGTTCAAAGCCAAGTCCGTTCCTCACAGTGATCTTGATTTGAGCTGGTTTTTACTTACAGGGCTAAATACCACCCATCCTCCAGTCTTTAATTAGTCCATTCATTAACTGCTGAAATGCACTCACTACAGAATTAAGAGATCTGGGATGTAACACTCAGTGCAGTTTCTCAATATTCAATATTCTGGCCAAAAAAAAAAAAAAAATCAGCTTTTGGAAGCAACACTTTCCTGTGACTCAAAAGTTTATTCCATTTGTGGATGAATTTTCTCTGGCTGTCAATCCCCTCCTGGTCCAGCTGGGATGCTCAGCACCTCTGGGCTGCTCCAGGTTTAATCTTGGAGGATTTCTTCCTCAAGCCAGGTAAAAAAAAATTAATATTCCTGCCCTAGGACGAGGCAATCAAACCTTGGGCTGCAGCAAATGTGTCCCAGAGTTGCCTTTTCTGTCAACTGCTACAAACCTTCCTGCTCTCCAGCCTATCAGAAACCAATAAATATCCGATTGAAAGTTTCCAAGGAAGGCACTGGTGAGTCTTGGGGAGAGGTACAGCTAAAAAACCCCTTTCCCCCTGTGTGCTCTCCACTACCACATCATTTATTAAATTATTAAAAAGCAGAATTTCATCCTTTCACTCGAGACACAACCCCCACTGTGACACTTAGAGAGGGCTGGGGAGGGAATTTTTTTCAAGCATTCTGTCCAAAGTGATGTTTACATTGGTTCATCCCATTATTGCCTAATCCTCTGCAAGTAATTCCTCTGCTTTTAGAGATCACTGACCCCCAAATGGAGTTGGGGGTCCACAGTCACTGGGATTACTGGCAGGCAGGAAAAACAAGACTCATCTACTGACTTTTCCAATAACTCTGTAGCGTAGCAGCCAATTTTAGAGGGTCTTTAACAGAGAAAACACAATTTATGCTCAGCCTAAATGCTAATTGTGGGGAGACTTACAAAGCTGATACCTAATGAGGCTGGTTGTGCCTTTGTTAAACAAACAGAGCAGCAGAAGGTCTGCTGCCCATTCCTAACACAACTGCTGCCCATTTCCAGATTAAGGCACTGTTGTGTTAAAAAAGCCGAATTTCTGCACAGAGCAAAAACCAGTAATTAAGAACAAACACCACACAAGGGAAATTTAACTGCATTGTTCTGCTGCTTCTCTGGAGTGAGACATCCCCAGCCCAGCTCCCCCGTGCCCCATTTCTGGGCTGATCCTCTGCTCCTCTGCAGTGGGAGGGCAAAGGGGGTACCTGGATGGGAATTTATTTATTTATTTATTTAAAAACCACTTTCTGCTTCACTGAAATGGCCTCAGGTTCAAACACATCTCACAGGTGCTGTCAGCACTAAAGGGTCCTGACTCCATGCCTTGTGCACTCTTTCTAATTTGAACATATATCATCAATAAAAAAAATCTCTGTATAAAGAAATCATAGAGTAAAATAAAATATATTTGCCCTTAAAGTTGCAAATCATGTAAATTAAAAATAGGAAATACTACATGGAAGTTTGTCCACTAAGTATTACTGGTCTGGCTACAACTGAGATGATGACCTTTTAGATTTTGTTTTTAATGTTTTGGAAGAGGCCTTCCAGTGCCTTAAGGGCAAGGGGAAATGATTTTAAACTGCCAGAGGACAGGATTTCAGTAGGATATTGGGAAGAAATCCTTCCCTGGGAGAGTGGGGAAGCCCTGGCACAGGTTGCCCAGAGAAGCTGTGGCTGCCCTGGAATCTCTGGAAGTGTCCAAGGCCAGGTTGGAGCAACCTGAGCTGGTGGAAGGTGACTCTGCCCATGGCAGGGGGTGGAATGAGATGACCTTTAAGCTCCTTTCCAATCCAAACCATTCCATGATCCTGTGATTCCAAGAGATGTGGCATTTCAGAATTTGTAATATTTTTACCATCAATAAAGGCATTTTATTAGGAACATTTCGAATCCCTGAAATGGGAAATGAGGAGCCTTTTGTCATTCATTGGAGTGGCTGAGCCATGACCTGCAGTCACAGCTGCAGAACCTGGTATTTTAATACAATTAGGGACTTTAAGACCCTTCCACTGGCCAGGTGTTCCTGGTCCCTGCTGCCAGCCCTGGTGCTGGTGGCACTGGATGTCCTGTCTCACAGGATCTTTGTCTTTCCTTACTCCACAGTCAGGATCTACTTCAATCCCCTCAGTCCTCCAAGTGCCAGTAAGGAATTTTCAGCCATTATTTATGTATAAAATCCATAAAGCTTTTCACAAGATGAAGAAAAGGTATTTTCTCATGCCCCTGACTCATTCCAAAAGCTCCTGTGGAGTTGCTCCTCCTTCCCCCAGGGGAGGTTGCAGTGTCATCCAGGGATTCCTGGTCACATCCAGCTTCCCTTTAGTATCAGCCAAGCTCAGCAATGTTGTCATGAAGACATGCACAGATGGAACAGGGAGGATTGATTCTTCCCTACAAATGAGCCACAAAACTGCCTCAGACTGAGCCCATCCCCTGGGGGGTGTTTGCTTTGTCACATCTGGTTTCTTCTTGTCCCATGAGGCTTCAGCTCATCCTCTTGAAAGGCTTTGGCAAAGTCTGTCAGGGACCTCCTACATCTTCATTCCCACTGCTCTACCGTCAGTGATAGATTTTGGGAGCACCACAGGAGGAATCTGTTAGAACAGCAGGAGGAATGAGAGCAAAGAAAACTTCCTCTCAAGTTCCTCCCCCTCCTCCTCCACCACCCACTGGAGAAGTTCTCCCTGGGGAGCACTGTGTCTGTCCCTGGGTCTGGGAAGGGGCTGCAGAGCTCAGCTCACAGGGGAGGGGTCCAGGGCCTTGGGGAGGGGGTGTTTGTTCCCATCCTGTTGTCCCTCAGCAACAGAGACCCAAACAGTTCTCTCCAGGAGAGGGAGAATGGTCTCTCCTGACCATACAGCAGAAGGTTCCAGCAGCTCCAGCCCTGCAGGGAGCATTAAACTCCCATCCCTCAACTGCTGGCACAATAACACCTGAGCATCCCAAACCTCCTGCCATCAGCAACAACCCAACCCCCAAGTGTCAGCCTTGAAACAACAAGCAGGGCTTTGATTCCAAAGAATTGGGGATGTCAGCTTGACATCCTGCACATGATGGAGCAACTCCTTCAGGGCAAACACTGGATTTCCAAAAAGTCTTCACAAGACACAGCCCAGACAACCCTTCTGCCAGCCCCATGTGAAGCTTAGGAGCTGGTGGGAAGCAGCAGGATGGTTTTGCAGGTGGAACGGTCTCCTTTGGAGCCTCAACCCTTCAGAAGGACTCTGGTGGGCAGGGTCTGTGGGTGAGACTGGAAGTCCTTCTTGGTTCCTTGTGATGTGTTGTTTTGCTGGTATAACCTGCAGCTGACCTGTTCCACCATCTGACACCTCCCCAAGTGAGCTCCAACTCCCCAGGGAAAGCTCTTAACACCTCATTACAATAAATGATAATAATAGGCTGGATTTCTTTCCAGAGCAAGGAAGCCAAACAGCCTCTGGCTACACTGAAATGCAGTGAACAAAACCAGTCCAGCTGCCTGGTCCCTCTTTTCCTCTGAGGTAACAAAACTGTACAACAGCACAGTGAGGACAATCTGAGAACCAACAGCAGCAAAAGTCCTCAGAAAGTATCACTTTCTGGTCTTTCTTCAGTGGTTTTTTCTAACACCACTGGGCACTGATGGATTTCTGATCTCCAGATATAAATACCACTGACAAAACTCCCAGAGCCACTTAGGTTATTATACCATCTCAGCATCCCAGAGGATCTCATGGACTGGGCTTGGATTATCACCTTCCAGCAGACCATCAACCTTCACTCTGCTCTGCAGGACCTGGGGGTTGTAATTCTTAATGAAATTCTCTGCACTGCTCTGGTAGACACACAAATGCTTCGAGCCTCAGCCTCATCCCAGACCTTTCCCCATCCCTCAGACTGGATCTGAGACAAACCAATTTGTAAAAACTGATTCAATTATCTCTCATTTCCTTCGCTTCCCATCTCCTGTCAAAGCCAAGCCAGGAAATGAGGACTAATCCCAGGGAGAGCTGAGATACCATCAGTCCCCCCAGACAGCAAGAACACCAGGAGCTGCAGAAGGAAGTTTTGTCCTCCCGTATTTCATTTCTAGGCAGGTGAGAGACTCCAGAGGAGCTGGAGTGCCTCAACCCTCAGGCACTCACCTGGACTGGTGGGATGAGAGCTTTTTAAGCCCTACTTATTTCTAATAATAACAAGGAAGGACCTGGGTTGTGAAACACCTGGCAAGAGGCAGTGGGTCATCAGTCCTGAATTTTGGAACACCGGGATGATCTTTTAGAGCTCCTACAGCCCAAATCCAAGCTGCCCTGCAGCCAGTGCTGGGCTGGCCAGGGGCTGCAGGCAGGGCCAGGGGATTGTGGCTTCAGATTGGGTTCACACATCATAAAGGAATTGTTGACCAAGGGATTGACTTCTTGCCATCTGGGGAACTCACTCCTCCAGCCCAGGCACCTGGAAGAAGCTTGGTGGCCATCCCCACATCTTACCAACTCACACATCCCTAAGGAAGCTTCAACCATCCCATGGTTTTCCAGAGCCACTCAGAGCAGGGTCAGGAGAGTCTCTGGGAGTGCCCCTTCCCACCTCACTGCTCCTCCCAGGGGCAGCTTCAGGGTCACAGTTTCTAACTTTAGCAACTGAAATAACTTGTGATTTCCCTCTTTTGTTGCTGCAAAAGCCGAGAGAGCCCAGGGAAAGGGAGCTGGATCCTGCTCTCCCTTGCACATCATCAACACAGTGATTGGGGCGGCTCCAACCACACATGCAAAGCCACTGCAGGAGCCAGGGCAGCTCCAGGGTAACCATGGCCAGAGCCCTCCTTCCCCTGATGATGTGTGAGGAGCTGAGCAGGGCCAAGCTGTGCTCACAGGACCTGCAGCTCAAACCTCCCTCATCCTTGAACTCGGAACTGAAGAACATTTGATAATTATGGAGGAATAAACTCTGGCAAACCCATAATGCTGTTCTCCCAGGAATTTTCTGCAACTGGACTTAAAAAAAAAACCACCTCAACTCTCTCTTAGGCTTTTAGCTGGTGCATTAGAGGACTGCTGTGCAGAAGTTGCAGGGTATAATGATAATAGTAATAAAAACAATAATGATGCTGATGATAAGAAGAAGAAGAGAAAGAAAAAGAAGACAGAGAAGAAAGAGGAAGAAGAAGAAGGAGAAAAAGAAGAAGAACAAAAAAGAAAAAGAAATCTAATTTATTGAGAGATTTTATTTAAGCTACTCTCCTGTAGCTTAAGCAGCATCTGACCATGGCCTAAGCAATCCCTTTCAGAATTCCCTCCATCTTCTCCAGCCATGGAAAGTCACACCTAGATCCTGCTATTTTAGAAACCATTTCTACAGATAGTTTTCCAACTCCAGATAAGAGATCTGTGCCACACCAATGTTTTCCTAAGCCTCAGGAGCACAACATTTCTCACGGGCCCCTCACTCTGCACACACGGCTGATCCAGGTCAGGGAGCCCCCAGTTTCCAAGGATGCAGCACAACGTTCCTGCATGGGATCATGGGATCACACTGATCCCTTTGTTCCCAGATATTATGCCCCACTTGTGGGTCGGATCAGAGCCACAAGCAGCAAAGTGGATGGGAAATGAGTCAGTCAGGGATGCAGCCCCTCGAAGGGACACACCGGGAGCATGGAATTCTCTCCAAGGAATGTGGAGCTGGTGGGAGGGGCAGACCAGCTCCCAACTCAGGGGTGGAAAACGCCACGGGTCCAACCACTTCCCCTGTGGGTTGAAAAGGACTGTGAAATAATCCCTCCTTGGAAAGTTTCCCATGGAAACGTCGCCGAGAGAAAAACGTGCCGGTGTTTGTGTGTGCAAAGGGGCGGAAGGTCCAGGGTTGGGAGGAGGGGACAGTGTTTAAACAGGATGGAAAATGGATACATAGGAAAGTCCCCTGAGAGCCCCAGGGGCTGCTGATGACGTTCAAAGGGTTTTCACTTGGAGTCTCTGGGTCAGTGCAGAGAGACTGTGAGGAATCAGAGCCCTGGGCGGTCACCAATCACAGGAAGTTCAACCAGGGGGAAGTGCCGGATTCTGCCCCTGGGTTGGGGCAACCCTGGATGGATGGATAGACTGGGAATGAGAGGCTGGAAAGCAGGGCAGGAAAGGGCCCTGGAGGTCCAGTTGTCCCTGAGTCAGCAGTGCCCTGGCAGCCAGGAGGGACATCCCTGTCCTGGGGGCATCAGATGGGGAAGGGCCTGGATTTGAAGGTGTGTGAGGACACTGAGGACACGTGGTGTTATCTCCAGAAGGTTACAAAACCAGCCATCATTGGTTATCCCACAATCTCTTTTCTCAAGCCAGGGAGGGACACACACAGCAAGTCTTCATATGGGATAACGTGGCTTTGCTTCAGCTGAGCCTTTGCTTGAGGGCAACACTAAACCTTGCAAGAATCCAAGGTGGCTCCTCGTCCAAACCACTCATCTGAGGTGGACATGGAGTGGCAGGAGGCTGCCAACAACCCCCAGACTCGTGGGATCTCCTGGGATCTCCATCCAGCCGGGGGTTCCCTCGGCAGGACCATCTGCAGAGGAACTCGAAGCCATCCAATCCCAGGCACGGGTCACGAACCCACTGCTCCAGATGTGACCTCAGCTGCTGGAGGCTCTGGTGACATGACTCACACTTCTTAAGGGAAGGCAGGGAGGCCACAGGGACTGTGTGTGTGCAGCAAGAACTGGCCGCCGTTCCTGCTGACACGTCCTCTGCTCCCCAGCATTCCTGGCAGGAATGGGAGACCATCAAGGCCTCTTCTGAAGGAGGGGGGCAGAGTTAGAAACTATTTTAGCCTGATGCTCCTCACTGAAGGAAATAAAACCTCCCCAAGCTTCAGCAGAGAGGCCCAAGTGTGTTTTGTGCCTGGGGAGCTGTTCTTGCAACCACAGCACAGCAAAGCAGGCTCAGGAATTCCTGTCACTCCTGTGCTGGGAAAGCCAAGCTGGAGGTTGCCAACAATTCACAGCATCTCCCAGGGCATCTCTGGCTCCCAGAGCTCTCCTGTTTTCATAGTCTCTGCCACCTCCAAGTGCCCTTTGCAGTGTCTTAGCACTTTCTGGATTTACCAGCAGTGTTGAGGGTGCAGCCACACAGGAGGGTCACAGTTTTCTTTCTTGGATACTGTGAGGGCTCTTATAAATCTCATAAAACTCACACAGTGACACCAGAGGTGTGATTGGCACAGGCACAAACACCCCCAGTTCTTAATGAGTGCAACAAGCTCTGCCCCTTGCTCAGCACCTCAGAAGGTACGTTGAGGATGGGCTCAGCTTTGAGCTCAACAAATTTACATCGAGATTCATCCCAGGAAGAGCTGAATTCATCATAAATTCTTGTTATTGAGGATACTTTGCCGCAATACCAGCATGTGGCAGCTCTACAACTTAAAGCTATTCACAGCCTGGGTCAGTAGACTAATTATCCTTTGTTTGTGCTGTGACCCTGCATTCTCCCACACCTCACTGTGGCTCTCAGCGTTTTAGGAAAGAAGGGAAATACCCACAAGCCAAGGCAGTAACAGAGCCCTGCACAAAACAACATCCCCCCCTTATTGTACAGCCTGAAGAGCCACACACAAAACACACATTGCTTGGCTTTACTGAACTCTTGTGAAAAACATGGTCAACCTTCAGCCCAAACTCCCCAAGGCTCCCTTTTATCTGCTGCATTTCTTCAGCAGCTCTTCACCCCACGACACCTGACCAGGGACCTCCCCAGCCACCAACTCCAGTTACCTGAGAGCCCCCAGGTCTCTCAGCCCATAGCAGCTCTCCTGCCAAGCAGGAGGGATGGATTTTGGATTTCTGAAGGTCTTTGCTCAGCTCCCATTGGAGAAATTTCTTATTTTATCCAAACCAGTTTGCTGACACCCCTCAGGGCAAAGTTTTCCTGATACCTCCACTCTTGGAAGGGCTCTCTGGGCTTGAATCAGCCAGAAGAGCAGTGCAAGTGCTCAGGTTCTTGCAGCCTTAAAAACCACATAATTCTGCTATCAAGAATCTTGTTTAAATAAGAATGGCAAGACATTCACAGACGTTGAAAACCACAGGTTTAGTGCTGAGCTGAAACATCTGGAAGAAATATTTGCTCTTTGAAAGTGCCGCTACTGTGCTGCAAACCCAGTCCAGAGCTCTGAAAACCCAGCCCAGAGCTCCACAAACCCAGCCCAGAGCTGCACAAACCCAGCCCAGAGCTGCACAAACCCAGCCCAGAGCT